TACCACCTGGCAATTCCTATTAGTTGGGTAAAAATATTGGATTAGACTGAAATAAAAAAACATGAAAAATCTAAAATTTAATTTCTAATTCGAAATTATGATAATCAAAATAATAATTATTCAGCCTAGATTCCAATATTGCCGCTTCCCAACTCTGTCTGCTTTATAAATAAATAAAACAAATAATTAGGAGGGAAAAATCCTGCGGCGGGTAAAAACCTCCAAACAGACCAAAATGATCTAAATTAAACTAATAACGTGATTCTATACAATAAAAGATTTCTTAAAAACTAATCGTCCGTTAGTCAAATTAAAAATTAAAAATTAAAATTTCCATCTTCAATTCCCTTTCCATCCTCCTTTTTCATCAGGAGGAACCACTGGGAAGAACCAAAAGAACCCAAAGAGTAGGAAATGCCAAGAACTGGAAGGTCATGGAACTAAACAAAATAAAAGTTCCTCACAGAATCAAAGTTCTTTAAAAAAATTCATTTTTAATCATAAATTCAATGTTCAATTAATAATTAGGTTGAATGGTCACATTTCATGAAGTCAATTCTCCAAATAAATTCCAACTTCGCATCCTTTTTTTAAATAAAAATCCCACTCTCAAATAAATGATTCAATATCATTAAAACAATCAGTTCAATTCCACCTTGCGCAAGGAATTTTCATAGATAAGTTCAATAGCTTCTGCTCACTGTGCAAACTAAATTATTAAAAATTGGGCTCACAGTTACGCATACTATCCGAACAAAAATATTAGGATACCATGGATATTTATAGGATACCAATATTTATAATCTATACTAGTACCTTGATTTACCCACTATCATCATAAAATTCTCTAGTCTTATTTGATAAAAGGACGTCTTCTATTTGAAGTAGTGTTGAACTTTCCTCAAACATAAGTGGCGTTACAGTAAAATTATTTTCATCATAAATCCAACCAACCACACTGAGAACAATTGAGTACTAAACAATGTCCCTTTATTGCGTTTTGCCACATCGAATTTATATAAATTGCACTGAAATTTGTCGAATGAATCCCAATACCAATGGTTTACAACAAATTTTATTATTATAAGCAAAATGCGTATGTTTTTATTCATTCCACATGGTTTGTAACTTATTTTCGGCGAAAGAAAAAATTGGGTCTCGGAAGAACTGCAATGTATTACAAAAAACCTATTACTAATAATTTACAACAAATTCAATTGTTATAAACAAAAGGAGTAGGTTATTATTTATATTACGCAGTTTGTAACTTTGTTTTATATTTATACAGCTACATGAATTTCTGGTGGTCGCCTCTCGGCGTTAATCTCCAAAACGGCTGATACGACTACGACTAACAATGGCCGCACGGTCAACGAAAGGCAAATCACCCTGCAAGTACATATTATTATAGGAGCACAACTCTACGAATGCCGATTCACAAGGCTACGCAGTTAGACGATTTGGCCAAGGCCTTGTCGCCGCAAAAACCCATAAACGGGAAAAACCCAAATCGGCTATTGTCGTAGTCAATCCTCTTCTTAAGATGCTCCATATCGATAAACTCAGTACTGCACACTGTACGTGTACTCTCATTGAAGGGCTTGGTTATTCATTTTACGCTCTTACACATTACTTCCAGTTCAAGGATCCAATTAAAGTTCACGAAGAACACCGTTGAAAAGTCTTGATGACTCTTAAAGGTAAGCAAGTTTTTATTTGTATGGATGCGAACGCCCGATATCCTCTGTGGTCACTAGACCTCGATACCAGATTGGAAAAGGAAAAATCGGAGAAGGTCTCACATACAGCTCCTCAAGAGGAGAATCGTACATAGACGTGACTGTAACGACTCAAGAATTGTCACAGTCCCTAAGTAAATGGTCAGTCGAAAGAGAGTGGGTTTAGGGGTCAGATCACATGGCCATCGGAATCCAGCTTGGTCAAAGTGGAGTGCAGTGTGAAACTTACACAGAGGCAACCTAACGGTTCTATGTCAAAGCAACCGATTAGGGAGCTTTCAGTAAGTTGATGCCCGAGCTAGAAAGCACACTTTCCGCTGGACCATTACTGGACTCTCCGGTGAACATTGATGGATTCGCTTTCACCATTGCAAATGGGTTAACAGATCTCTGCGAAAAATCTATGCTACGTCGAGAAGCACCAAGAAAAGCAAATCCCTAGTGGAACAACCTTGTCCCGTTTAAAGCGTAATGTATATAGACTGCGCCATAGATACCAGCGCATTAAAAGCTTGGCGCCGATACCCACCGAATCATAGTTGTGAGACTTCGATACCGCCAGCAGGTAAGGAAGTACTCCCAAGCAATTGAAAAGGCGAAAGTAAAGAGCTAGAAAATTTCGTTACAACCCGCGGAAACGAGGAAAAATAGGGCATGGTATACAAAATTGCGGCCAACAAAATGCAAGCCGAAAAAGTCATGAATGCACGTCGCACTGACGAGGGTAATGGAACCCTAAACTTTCAAGAAACAGCCAAGCGATTGCTAGCAGTACATGTGGTCGATGACCATCCAGAAATGGATACTGACCAACAGAGCAGGATAAAGATAAACGCTCTCAACCTACCTAACACAAATGACGCAGAACCATTCAACAAAGAAGAACTCAAACAAGTCGTCCAAACGCTCAAAAGTGGAAAGCTCCAGGGCTAGACTTGCTGGAAGTAGAGGTTGTTAAACGTAGAATCGCGTACCTCCTAGAAAAATTCCTATCATTCTTTAACGAATGCTTGTCTCAAGGCGTCTTTTCTCGGACTTGGAAAGAGGAAAAACTTCATATGCTCCTGAAGAGTCCCGACAAAAATGTAGCAGACCCCAAATTATATCGACCTATATGTCTTCTATCAGTACTAAGCAAAATCTTCGAAAGACTTATAAAAATTTGTCGCTCAACTAGCGTGCGATCACAATACAAGAATCCACAGAACGTAACGTGGTTGCATTGCTCTTTGATATTTCAGGCGCGTTTGATAACGTATGGTTGGTGGCCTTAAGTTCTTGAAGGGCTAAAGTCACGAAACTGCTCTAAAAATATATACAGGGTAATGCAAGATTACTTTACTAATCGTACACTTAGCCTATCTTAGGAAACTGTCTGAGTCACACAAGTGGCCACGCGTGGATGCCCTTAGGGATCTGTGGTGGCCCACTTTGCTGAAAAATTATGTTCAATTACCTCCTAAAAACACTTGACTAATCCGAACATGGGAAACGCTATGCAGCGTACGCGGACGATCTAATTGTCATCATAGATGGCAATGCTGGAAAAACCCTTGAAGCAAAAGTACTTTCGCAAATGCGTTGGAGACTTAAGTAACACACTTGTCTAATATAGAGGGTGCTTTCTGCCGGTGATTGCTTATGCGTTCCCGGCATTGAGCGATTTATGTAACGTTAAAGATTGGCTGACGCTTGCGGCCGCGCAGAGAGGCGTCTTAGGAGTTGTCACACACGCTCGCACGTCTACCCCGAGGGACGGCCTCTGTGTAGCGGTAGGCGTCCCGACTATACGCATAGCGATCGCTGATCTCAATGCGCGATATACAATTCGTACCGACGAAGCAGTTACGTACAACAATGTTAGGATTTCTATAATGACAATACGTTAGAAAAATCGTCAAAAAAGATAGGCTGGATAATAATCGGATACGCCTGAACAACCTGATGACGCCAATATTCACAGGACATGGTATATTTCGTGCACATCGTGCACAATATGCCACTGAAACGGACCCAACCTGACCTCTGCCTAACATGGCCTAAAATAGCACCAAAATTCGTTCAAACAAAGGACACATGTAAGGCACTCGAACAATTTGTCAAGGCGTGCGCGGAAGAGAAATTGTTCGAGGAAATCAGAAGAATCCGCGAGGGAGTGAGAGAAGAGAGGAGAGTAGCGCGAACGGGGTCAACAATGCCCAACAAACAGAATCCTTCACCCCGTAGAAGTACTCTGTCTTTACCAGCACCGTAAGAAAACATAGCTCGCGAACTTCATTGATCCACACCTGGGTTTTGTCAAAGCACCTAGGTACAGGTTGCAGGCCTGCAATCTTTGCAGAAAACCTGTAAGCTGTGGATCAAACGGATAGAGACTTGATTCTCCATTCACTTTATCTAATAATCTTTAATAATAAATACTTTTACATATTTTAGGAAACACCTAACACTAAACATTAAATGTTTTTCATCTGTCGACAATATAGTGGTGCTCCCCTTACACCATAACAACTAGGGCCACCGACCGAAGCGGATAAAACTGGCACCACGGGAGACCGAAATCTTAGCCCGCATCCGGGGCTGCAAAGTCGAAAAACAACATGTAGGTACCGGGTGCTTTCGGTCAATTGAGGTTGGACTCGTAGTGGTATGTTGCGAGGCCTTGGGCTAGATGCGTGTATCTTCGTGCCTTTCTGAAGGCGCGAGAATATTATGTCCCAAGTAACGCCGTCATTAGAAGTGGAGCCATTCTCAGATTTATGCCCTATAAGACGAAGTACTCAAACAAAATGTCTTACTCAGGACAGGATTTTCTGTAGAGACTGTTTTCAAACGATACAAATGTGCCCAAGTGACACTCTGATTCGATTTATATGTATATGTATACATATACATATTCTTGTTCAGCATAAAAAACCGTATAACATAATGAACTTTCAAGAAAGTTGGGAGTATAAAACTTGAATCGCATAATTACCCTCAGTGCCAATCTAATTTCTAATTTATTCGTAAATTACAAGACTTGTATTGAGCGTTAAAGAGAGGTGGTTATTGAAAAATTCTCAAATATCCTCATATGATATCATGTATAATACTTTATTAACATCAACATTGTTTATGTCAGACAAGAGTTCTACACTTTAAAATTTAATATGCTCTAAACAGCTTTCTTCTATTTTTTTGAATACTAACACTTACAACACTAGAAATAATTGTTGAGAACATTAAATAATTTCGTATGATGAAATGTCTGTTTGACAGGTACTGCCACCACTCAAACCAGCTAAATCTGAAAGCATATCATTTAAAATCCGAACAACAGAATCAAATGGATTGATAATGATTAGTCACAGCGGGACAGCATTACGTGTAAGTATGATACAACTCGATCTTTTATGTTATGATAAATATTTTAAGAATATTCATATCTTTTTTTATGTTCATGAGACAATTTCTCAAGCAGTAGAATCATTTTCTATGAGAACAATCACATTCGACCATTACGATAAATTCTCATTCAATTTTGCAAAAGTGTATTAAATTGAACATCATACGATGCAGCAAACACTTCCCTGAGAAAAAAAGCGTCGAGTACAAAAGCTGGAAAAAAGAAGCCGATACGAATTATTCAAAATATGATCGAAATAATAATCAATAAAATAATCATAAACAAACAACTGATAAACGAATTTATAATGGTATTTTCATTATTATTCTCATTAACATGATATATTATAGAACTTAGTATATTTTGCTTCAAAATTAATAATATTATAAACCATCCATGTCCATCCAATTGCTATGTAATGTCACTAGTCTGGTATTTTTTGTTTCTAAAGGTGTAAATTTTCATTTTTTAGTAGAGTGTATATACCTTTTTATTGCATATTTATGCTTACTTACACGTGTTTTATGGATTACTTCAAATTTTTCATGTAATTCTCCCCTCACTTCATGTACATTTTTATTATAAATATCGGGTAATGGCTGTTTTTTATTGTTGATTGGTTACTATCAAATTTACCATAACAGTACGATTGTATTTACTATTAAATAAGGTTTTTTAATCTGATAAAATATTCATTTACTTGCAACTACCATTCATAGTATATTATTACATCATTTTAGTCTTCAATGTACGGTAGGAAAGTTTACAAATAGAGACCTCTGGATTTTTTGAATTTTGCATAGATTCTTAAGGTATAGTGATCCGTGAGTGGTTAAAAATTTTTTTATAAATTTTTGCGCCTTTATCTACATATAATTTTTAAGTTGATCGACTCTACATAAATGCTAATATCATCGTACTTATTACTGTCTGTTAGTATGTTCATAGTCGTTACATTTAATACAATGGTATAACTAAAAGTCTTTGCATACGAGACGAAGATGGCAAAAGTGTGTGAGTTGATATGGAAACATTTTTTATTTTCGTGAAATCCAACATCATTTCGAGATTTTTGTTTGAAGAGCCAACGCTATTTGTCATTTACATCTCTATGACGGCTTGAGCAGCAGATGTTTCAAATTTTGGAATGTTATTAGACTTTCAACTATATTCTTCACGGCAGAAACACTTGATTAAATTGAGTTACATATTTTCTTCTGTTTCTTCAGAAAAATTTATCGTTCAGAATCTTTAATTCTTGAATGAGAGAAAGATGCGATAACTAAAAATTCTCCAATTTTATTGAATGTTAAGTATGGCTTAAATCTTTTAGTGATACCGTCTTTTATGCGTTGTATTAGATGTTGATAAATAGTAATATTTAAATCTTTTATTAACTTCAATAAATTGGTTTGAATATTTGACAGTTCCGGCAACAACATACCATAATAACAATCATATTGCAATAAATAGTTTGTTTGCTGGAATATTCTCATGATTTAACTATTTTATGCCCGTGACTTTGTTCGCGTAAGTACTTTTTAGCTGGTATAGACTACTACATATGTTACTACATATTATTTATTGGAAATAGCGTTGAAGAATAAAATTGTAATTTTTCAAAGTCATAGAAAGAAATTCAAGTGTAAAATACATATCATCCTTCTAAACGCACAATTACTGTTGCAAAACAATCGTGAGTTACAGAATAATTTGTAATAGAAAATAGTCAATTTCAATTAGAAGATTTTATTCCTTATTGTTTATAATTGATACAATCGTTAAAAACACATTATATGTTTCACAAATCATGGAAATCTTAATTTTATTCCTATAATTGTATCGGCTCAGCCGTTTTAGAAAAGAGCGATTTGAAAACATTAATAAATGTCTTCTCAAAGTTTAACATCATTCTTTCAGATTCCAGCTCAAGTACACTTCGTTTTAACACATTCGTCGCATCAGAATATGTTTGTTCCGACTCATCTGGCAGTAGTATATAGATAAGCGGCAACATCTTCTCTTTAAACAATCCGTGGATTGTATATAATTTCTTGAAAATAGACGGCACATATAGAAATGTGCCATCGCCAGCTCATTGACTACAATTCGACAAACATTCTAAAGTACGTTGCGTTGTAAAAATTAAGAATCTCGACGTGTTCGGACTACTGTCAGCAAATGACATATCCTATTTTTTTTCGCACAGCAACAGGAGAGAAAACATTGACTAAAGCAGCACCAACAACAACGGATCATCGTTTACCTCGTTTCCAGAAATTATCGAGTACTTTTTTCACACCAACACACGACGATCAGCTGAGTGTTTACAGATTGGAGGACTCCCAATGACATCACTTGCATAAAATATTCATGGAATATCACTACCTATAATAATCAACCAATTAACCACACTGTAAACAATTAAATACTAATCTGTCCTTTTATCGGTGTCAGTGTGTACAACTACATCGCATCAACTACTTTAATTATATGCTATACAACGCCATGTTAAATCATCTTTATTGTTATTTTTCAATGTGGACACATATTCGTCTAACAAGAGTTGTTTCTTTCCTTTCTGTGATCTTATAAAAGTTACCGACATGATCTATTCTTTATGAATACAACGAATGTCCATGAATGATTCACACCATTCACAACTACACGATAACTTTTACGCTTAATTACACTATAATATTGGCTCGATACAAATAATATTGACTATGTCATGTCCGAGTGTATTTAATTTAATGATTTAAATTGTTAATTATTTAAAAGCCAAAATTAGGGATGAAGGGCAGCGCGCTCTCGTGAAAGGGGTGCTCGGACTAACGGTAGGTTTCAGGGTACAAAAAGTCGTTCTCTTCATTTGATTTTGATTTAGGGATTCGTTGTGATCTTAACCGAAAGTGGCGGTTCTACGCAGTTTATCGTGCAAAGGGTTGAATATGGAAGGAGGAAACAAAGGAAATAATAAAGATCTGACTTCGATACAGAAAATTTATACTTACCATGAAAAGGAAACTTAGAAAAGAAACTATCATGCGTACTCTCCTTCCTTGATGGTTCTCAATGAGGGCCAGAAAGGTCAGAAATATTGTAGACAAATATCAAGAGACACTGATGGTTAGGTTTGAAGACACTTATTTTTTATGTAAGATATTCTTTTACTTGATTTATAAATTGTAATTTACAACTAGAGTTCGAGGTTTGATTATTATTATAAAGTAATGACAATTTTCAATTTAACTGTTCGTAAGAACCTGAATAAACAATTTACTTAGTTTGATTATATTGAGTTCCCCAGATGACACTTTGCACTTGGACTCGATGATGAATCTATTTCTTATGTTCAATTATTGGTTAACTTCGACACAGTGATTTGCCACGTTTCCTACTCTTTGAGCTATGACGCTGGGTACGCTAGAGGTCCGACTTGCCTTCCAGAAAAACGTAGAAAATCAGAGTGTTCTCTATTAACACAGAAATTGTTACGCGACGCTCAGTACGTCTTGACGAGTCTACGGTCATCGACGAAAAGCCTCGATAACAACTCATACTGCTTGAAATAAGGGGTAAACTGGATCCACGTTGCCGGGTGTCCTAGAAACCTAGAGCGACAGTGCACCGTTTGCACGTCGAGTTGCAAAAATCCAGTTGTAAAATATGCGTTAATATTTCACGACTCGAGACTGGTAACTATATCCCGAAGAATCAAAACTTCAGCGTTGTCAACTGGGTCAATAAACTAGAGGGAGAGGACAATAATCAAGAGTGAAAACTTTAATGTTTTGCAAGAGGATCAAAGTTGCGTCAAGAAGGTGAAAGTTCTACTTCAGGCGAAACCTAATACTCCGTTTCGACATTGAATCGTCAGCAAAACATGCATGGTTTATAAAAATTAATTTATCAGGCCACTATTCATTAAATTAAGTTCAGCAATTAATTTATTCGAATAAAGGAAAAGTAAAGAGAATTATAATAATAGGCCGGACATAACAACTACATTCATCGATCTCTTCAAACATCCAATAAAACTCACATCTGTGAAGTTAGCCATTGAAATAAACAAAACTTTACATTGTAGTGTTTATTGGTAGTTGACGTTAAATGTTGCCATTCAACATTGGATAACTTACCGACTAGTGTTATATTAGTGTTATTTGCTTATTGTTATAAAAAACAAAAGAACACGATAGATAATACAGATAATCCCTTTTATTTTTTATTATAAAATTATTATAAAATATTTAGCATATTTATTTTAGCGGTTGTGTTTCAGTTATTTTACTATACGGTTATTATGATACGCGATTATTTTTCTCGACAATTACTTTGTCGTCAGTTGTTCTGTTGTGGTTTTTTTTTCGCAGTTGTTTTATCTCAGGTTATTTACGCGCGGCATCAGTCAAATCAGCTAGTTGCCCTCAAGAAAAAGTCCTTGAGATTTACCACTTTACTACTGATAAAAGCCATAAAGAGGAGCACAAAATATTATTCAAGTCGACTACACTTCTGATACATGTAAGCGTAAAGGCAACACGTGCTTGTCTGTCTGTTGCTTCATAACGCTGCTTGTGGCTGAAGTGCCCGCGTCTCCGCCCATGCGCGGACAGACTCCGTTCCTCACTGCTCTCAGCATGGAGATGATCATCTGGTGGACGATAATGTAGGGACTCGTAGATGACTCTATTCGAACACTCGTGGACAGCAAGTAAGTTGAGTTTTGCTGCAACACAAAAGAATACTTCCAAGTACAAATAGTATAGTGGCTGCTCTTTCCCTTAGACTATTATTATTAATTTTAGAAAGGTCCATTACCTCTTTGAATATTTCTGATTTAATCTCTCTACCTCGATAGAAATGAATTAAAAAATATATGAAAATATTTGAAAAACTAAAGCTTCAGCACTAGTAGTAGCCTGATGATAAGGGAGGAGAATTGCCTCAGGCCAACTAGTAAAATAAGTAAGAAGAC